GTGGAGGCAGCGAGAGTTGATCCTCATGGCGGTACCCCGGGGTAACCAAATAATACATTGTCAGTGGCGTGTTCTAATAGCAGTGCAATGTGGCACGTGTTTTATGCTGTAACTTATGCAACAACCTACATGTTCTGACTATTTTGTCTGTCATTGAAGCCCCTACAGACTGCTGCACTGCCCCTGATATTACAGTAACGCATACCACCTTCAAAGGGATACTTCTCTCCAATGGAACGACCACACATCCTACAAAGACTGTCCTAAGCAAGTCCCGGACCGATTTTTTTTTCTGGAAATTTCCAGTCAAATACAGTGTGCCAGACTTGGATGACGGTATTCTTAGCTCTTTCAGTAAAGTCACGTTAAAGGGAAATAATAAAATATATATAAAACAATAAAAAATAAAAACGTGACTTTACCGAAAGAGCTAAGAATATGAATTACTGCAGTCACAAAAGCTTTAAATCAAAATTTGGATGACGGTAGTTAGAACTTTTGTAAGGTTTTAAAAATGTATTTTCCTGTCAAGCAAGCCTTCTTAGTAGTGTCGTAAAGAAATTCAGTACATCGGTAGAACATCTGAAAGATCCATTTAAAACTCATTGCTTGCTGCAATGTTGCTCTCTGTCCCATGTCTCCCTCTCCCCACCAACCTCTCTACCCCTTTTCTAACCTCGTAGTCCCCCCCCCCCGCCGCCTGTTGTAAAGTATCTTGAGAACACTACCGAGAGACGTCCACCAAGGAGATGGTGCGATGAGGTCAGCTCGCGTGCAGGTGTTTTGTGGATTGTTACATTGCAAGACCGTGGCAGGTGATGGTGGCTTAGGGAGGCCTTCATCCAGCAGTGGATTGACTAAGGCTGATAATGATGGTGATACATTTCCAACGTTGTTGTTGTACAGTGCCTATTCTACCTCCCAGATTGGCTGCAATCTAGTAAATCAGATCCGAAGCAAGACTCTGTGTTCATAACTCTTCGATACCAAACACTTTTCCACGTCTTTGTATTTGTCCTGAAAATGCAGGTGAATAGGTACTTTTCGTTTTGCCACGTTCTAGTATTAATCCCCCGCGTGTTAAGCAAGCGGAGCATGGCCGTGTGCTTTAACACAAGCGTGAGATGCAACACTGAAGGGTTTAGCTCTATGTCCTTGGCAATGCATAGCCATAGGATGCAGAGACTGTGTTTAAGCAGCCATAAACAACGAACAGCCTTTAGTTGAGACGGGTTAGGCCCCAGCACTGTGCTTCCCACAGGGATGTGTGCATCTTCAAGATGCCGCAGCTGAGCGGATTGTAAAAGCTTTGGCAGTTGTTATGTACAGGTTATGAAAAAAATGAAGGCTTAGACATTACACATGTAGTGTAGAAATGCTATTACCATCGTTGTGTCTACATAATACTGGAAGGTAGGTGAAATAAAATAAAATTAAATTTTCATGAAAATATTCATTCAGGCGTGTCAATTATACCTTTTTGATTTGTATTATATTTTGTTTCCATTCACCGTAATCACTGGATTCAGCAGTGCTTGAAAAAAAAATGTACCCACTTAAACGTGTGAGTGCACGCACGTAATTTGCTATGACAAATGGATCTGAAAAACGGACACCGCTGAGCTGGAACACAGAAGCAGTGAGACGCATTCTTGAGATTACACTGAGAGAGAGGCAGGGGAACAGCGTGAAGTGGAGAGCATACGCAGGTTAAACACACAATATTGACTGTTGAGAAAAGTAAAATTTGTCTTTGGCAGAACGCACGTGGTGGCTAGCAGGCACGACCGCCTGTGTGCGAGAATAACTACAGAGTGGCGGACAAAGGAGGGAATGCGCCCAATAGGACGTTCACCTTGGAGATGGAGCAATGAGATCGGCCAGTGTACAACTGCCGGGTTGAATTGTTGCATCTGGAGCCACGAGGCATGGGGGAGGCTTTCATCCAGCCGTGGATTGCTCGTGGCTGATGACATGATGCATGTTGGATGCTATGTCCCCGTCTAAAACTGAGTTGACCCAGGGGTTCTGGCGTGGTGTGTTAACATCGGCGCCAGAGTAATGAAGGGTAGCCGGCCATGGCCCTGACCACACGAACTCCCCCGTGTGCCGTGCTGGTTTTAATGGGTGCTCAACAACAGCACTTGCTCCTCACGTATACAAGACGAAGCAAGGTATTTTTTGTGTGCGTGATTAATACGACCTGTGTCCATGGTCTCAAGAGAAAATTGGTGTATGGTATGTGTAAGTCGATATTCTCTGCATTATAGGATGCGCCCCCCCCCCTTATTTTGAAGTACAATTTGGGGGTGCGTCTTATAATCTGGTCCGCGTGTATGTGTGTGGTGGTTCAGTGGTTAGTGCGCTGCGCTACGAACGCGCTCACGGCCACCGCACCAGGTACTAATTTGAGGCTGAGTCGACCTAGGGGAGGCCCAGCACCAGTTCAGATAATTGGGCCTCCCCTAGGTCGACTCAGCCTCAAAATGAGTACCTGGTGCGGTGTGTGTAAACATCGCCACTAGGGAGGACAAAGGCGGCCGGGCTTGGTGCTGTCCACCCACCCCATCGTGTGCCATGGTGCCGGCCTCCATAGGTGCTGCTCGCTAACAGCACTCGGCCCCAACAGTCCGCTAAGGATGTCCGGGGTGTCTTTGCGTGCGTGTGTGAGAGAGCACAGTTGTATGACCTGTGTGGACACTGGACACAGGTTTGGGGCGCGTCTTATAATGCAGGTACAACGGCATAATAGGGCGACGAGGAAGCCTGAACAACTTTTGACAGGTTGGACGTGAGAAAGGTGGGGCTGGCAGAGGGGGTGGATGGGGAGAGGGAAAGGCGTGCGTGGAGGTTGTGTGCGTGTGGGATGAGAAGAGAGGAGGAAGATTCCCAACGATAGGACACAAATGAGGAGACAACCTTTGACAAGGCCGTGAAATCTTACCCTATCTTCTTTAGCGAACACCCTCAGCTGCCATAATGGCGATTGGTTATTCTCAAGCAATGGAAGTGTAGGTTGATTTGCTTGCATTGATTTATTTCCCGAAGAGAAGTATATTTCAATGTTTTCCGAAAGCAATGCGAATTTGTGTTAAATAAGTTGGGGGCATTGGTAATATGTGTATATATTAAAAAATATATATATATTTGGAGCAAATTTTGAGAAAAATTGGTTAAACATATGTTGAGAAATACAGTTGTTTACTGCGTTATTTGAACAAGTATTTGAGTGTTAGTACGTTTCATGTTGTATTTGTTTTTGATGTTATGTTTTATTTTTTGCATTTTGCCTATGTAATTAAAACATGCATTTGTACCTTGATGGTCTCTTTTTAGATACATTAATTTTGTATAATATATCATGCATCATTGTTACTAATTGACATATATAGAAACACATAATTGGGTGGCTGCTACAAAATCCTTTATCTTATTAAGCATCTGTAAAGTTTACTTTTACGGAACTAATTATTTTTTATAAGTGTCTTGCATGCTTGATTAATGGAACAAAACAACAATACGTAAAAATAAATCCAATCTATTTAGACCAAATCAATGAGCTGCCAAGCTTTACCCTATTATTGAACCAGAAAAAACGTATACATGTACAATAGAAATAGTGTATTCGACTGCCTCTTTTCCACAGTAACATATCGTATTTTGAGACTAACAAAACAGATGCAGGACATGAGAGAGAAGCCAAGTAAAGAAATATAATTACCTTTAAAATCCTAAATATTATTAGGGTTTTTACCATTTTTTTCTGGCAACAATTGGTGCGTACGCGTTTTGGTGTCATCTCTGGTGTGGACCAATCAGGTTCAAGGACAATGCATATATTATCAGTATATTTATTGTTTGCATTTTGACTGCAAGTATTGTGGTTAATGCAGACATGAATCCTTGTAAAAAATAGTTTCAGTTTTGTTGCCAGAAATAAGGGTAAAAACCCTATTATTATATTTTGGTACTGGCTAAGGAGGTCCAATGATGATTTAAAATCCTTTTTAATATTAATTGCAAATCTGAATTGCATTTGGTTGCTTGCTGGAGTAATCTTTTTTCAGTTCACTGTCAATTTAATTATGTTTTGCAACGAACTTTTCTGACTTGTATAACCCCCCCAAAAAACTGAATAGACGCGCTACTGGCCATGACTCAACCCAGCAGATTGAAGATCTTGTTTCCGCAGCTCCCACGCTGACTTGTATGGATCTCATCCCGTCACAGTAGGCAGTGTGAGAACATTATCACATAAACCCAAACAAGATATACTCGTCCCATATTTGTGAACACAAATGCTCCACCGAGACTGGTTGCCGAAGGGGATTCTAGAATGTCTTTGCCTTAGGCATAATGCCCCCTTAAACTTTCTGTGACGATTGCAAAAAAGCTCTCATTCAATATTGTGCCTGCAACTGCAGGGTTTATTTTTAAATAATCAGTGCCATTAATGGTAGTAATGGTATAGTGATTAAGTCAACAATCACATGAATGCATAAATATATATATTGATGCATAAATAAATGTATTCGTTCGTGATTGCGTTTATACTGTCCATACTAAATTATGGCGATGCTGCGATGGTTGTAACGGCTAACACATTAGACTTTGCAATGCAGAGGTCGCCGGTTTGATCTTCCAGCGTGATAGTTACAATGGGGGAAGTTTATTCAATTCCATTTCGGTCATCCTCACAACAGCTTCTGGCTAGCCGCTGCACTTCTGTGGCCGTCTGGAACGCTCTTCCTTCCGATATTAGGAAGCCACTGGAGCTGTCCACTTTGAAATCTAGGTTGAAAACGTATTTCTTTAGAACTGCTTTTCATGTTTAGTTCGTTGTCCTTCCCCGCATCTCCGATTAGCATGGTTGGCTACGTACGGTGCGAAACAAGTTCAACATGCATACATACAAAAGGTGTGAAGACCAAATGTAATATAATAATATTGTTAATAATTATTGTGTCCTTTACTGTTCTCACCCTTGGCCTCGCTCACAGCCATGGAGCAGGTACTGGAGAGCCTCCCAGAGCTGCCTGTGTGCACAGGAGCCAAGGACACAGACCTCATCTTCCTCCGAGGGCTCCTGGAAAGCCCCATCGTTCAGTCCCTCGCCAAGGTAAGCAGCGCTTGCTCGCTACGAACACACACGTGCGCACAAACACGCACGTGCACACGCAACAACACGGACACAAACACACACACGAGCACACACAAACAACAACCGGCATTCGCCACTAAGTGGCGGTGACGTCACCACGACGCTTGTGCCAGGCTATGTGCACCCTGAGGCCACGTGAAGTGTCGAACGCCCGCTGGCAGGAGGTCACGGGGCAGACCCAGGTGCCACGGGTCGACTGACAGAGATGACTGGCTGATGCACCACCTGTGCCCCCTACTGTGCCAACCTGCTGTGCTTTAGCCACCCGGCGCTCCGCTCGTTGTTCTGAGCGTTGCTCCTCCGCCCTCCGTTGTTGTTGGAGGGCGACTGCCTCCAACTGCTCAGGAGCATCCTTCACGAGCCTCCCCCACAGAAGCCGATCTTGACACCGCTGGTACCAGTCATCGGCAAGTCCACTCAGCTCCACGTCCTCCTGTACCACATCACTCCATCTCTTCTCTAGCCCGTGCCGCGCCCGCTTAGCCCCCTCAATCCGGCCGAACAAAAGCTGTTTCGGCATGCGGTGGCTGGGCATGCGGGCTACATGACCCAGCCATCGCAGCCTTGCCTGCCGGAGGAGCTCACCGATGGGACCCTGCCCAGATCTTTCAAGGATTTGTGAGCTCCTCACACAATCCAGTCTGGTTAAACCCAGGATGGATCGTAGGCAGGCCAGCCTAAATGTTTCTAACCGGCGAAGATGTTCCATTAGGGGGGTCCACGTTTCGCAAGCGTAGAGAAGGGAGGGAATGACCGTGGCCGAGAAGACCTGAAGCTTAGTGCGGAGCGACAGACCAGGTAGCTTCCACACAGCGTTACGCAACCGATGAAAAGATATTGCCGCTCGACTGATTCGGAGTGAGACCTCTGCTGTTAAACTGGAGCCAGTCATAAGCACACTGCCCAGGTATGGGAAACTCTCCACTCTCTCCACACAAACACACACGTACGCACAAACACACAGCAGTCTATGTGCACGTCTTACTCGGTGAATCCCGTTACAGATGAGTGTAAAGTTGCCTACAGCTGCTGAGGGCAGTGGGTGATGGTGTTACCATAGAGGGTCCCTAACCCAGAAGTTGATTGAGTGTTGGACCACAATGCATGAGGGCAAATACATTGAGACACTCACAGTTTGAAACGTAGGCTTTCACGACCAATATCATCCACAATAGAGGTTTTTTGGGTTAGATCGCGTAAATATATAAATCTGGATGTCGCCTTATGAAGCTAGTTGTAATTACTGGTGAAATGTCGTGGCTTGGCTCTCCAACACACCGGTTAGTGCTGTACTAGTGACGAATTGGCACGTTCCGTTTACGTGACAACTTTACTAGTTGGCTGTGTCGGGTGGTGGCGGGTTTAACGACACATTTATATATTTACGCGATCTAACTCACTCACACCCTTGTCCGCCATTCGTTTCAGTGCTGTTGAAGCACTGTTAATTGTATGCACTTGAGTTAAGCATTTGTTACAAGTATAATTATTCATAAGAAATTGCTACTTAGGCGAAGAGTGTATAATGATTGTATCATTTCATTAAAATTGTAAGCTCGTTTAATGGAATTTTAATGTCTAGTGTTACATAATGGGGAAATATTGCAAATTGTTTTAGTTATTAAAACAAAGTATAATAGACTTTAAATTGCATAAAGAAATGAACATACAAGTTTATCAACTTCATGTCCAATATTCGTTCTGGAATATTAAAAGTTGAGATGTGCTCTGCAAAAAATGTTTCAAGCAATTTCTGCTTGTGAGGTCATTGATATAAAAAAATATATATAATATCTCCTTTAATAATTAAACCTTTCTTTAAATTGGTAATCTGTAACATGAAATACATGTTGTAAAGACACAATCTATGCCCTACGATGTATGGCGAATTAATATGATAATATTAAACCTTCTACCAGGAAAGTATAGTGCTATCTTGTCCCTACATAGATTTGAAATGAACGGTTCGTATGAGTTTACGAGAACTCTACAAGGATTTCAAATATTGCCACTCATTGCCATATTTCCGCTTATCAGACACTCACAGCCCATGCCCTCGTGTCTCGCTGCCCATCGTAATTTCTTAGCCTTGCATTGCTTGATCTGTTTGTTATTCTTACCTGACTCTGCAGACATGGGAAGGGGCATTTCGCCAAATAAATTATTCATATTAATATGAAAAGAAAAGTTGAAAATCGTAGCTCTTTGCGAAGTGTAAATGTGAATTTTAAAAAGGGCAAAGCTTACATCCACACACGGACGAGTGTGTGACTTCAAATGCACAAGATGAGTTTATTTGTTTGATCTTGTTAAAGGATTAAGTGCACAAACTTATGAGGTAGATTTACATTGGATGGCTTGGTTAAAAGTGAAGTGAAAATGCGTAGAAAAAAACTAAGGCATTGTAAATATTAAATAACAACATATTGGCATTGCGTTAACAAAACTAGCAGGTACGGGATGCTTAATTGCCTTAAAGAACAAACATTTAAGACATCGACACATTTGGCTTACAAATCAGTGTATCCCAGTAGCATTTAAACAATGTACAGCCTGGGTCAATTTTGATTTAAGAGAATTTCAACAACAAAGGTTGATCTGTATACTCCAGAGCATACAATCTACTTGCATAAACACATAGCAAATTGCTGAATAATTCAATGCGCTTAATTAACAGTGGTTTATCAGCTACATCGATCCCCAGGAAGTCAGTGAGATAATGGGAGAAAATCGTTTGCAAAGCCTAGACTGAGTTTTTTTTTATGAATTCAGGAACTATTTCCAATTCATAAAATATATCATATTATCACCAAAACCCATCATCATCGTCTGGCTTTGCCCTGCATTTCTAATCCTATCTCTCCTCCAATTCTCTCCCTTTCATCAAGCACTATCTCCTCTTTTTAAATCAATATAAATCTTTGCACAATGAGAGATCATTCCCACCCTGACGCCCGCTGTATATTTGGAGTTTGCATGTCTCTCTCTCTCATCATCACGGTAGCTAGGAGATGTTAACTCCATCGTCCGGTATGCAGGAGGTCCTGGGTTCGTTCGCGACCCTGATGCCTGCTGTGTATTTGGAGTTTTCGTGTCTCTCTCTCTCATCATCATGGTGGCTAGGAGATGTTAACTACCTCGCATGGTATGCAGGAGGTCGTGGGTTCGTTCACGACCCTGACGCCTGCTGCTGTATATTTGTTGTTTCCTCCACATTTAGAAACGTGCGTTGAGAGTATATGGCTGCTATAAATGTCCACGTGATAAGCCACTTCGTTGAGCTATCCTTTGTGGCCAGGTCACTTCCGAAAAAGATCTGTATAGCTCGGTTGTCCTTACCTGGTAAAATAAAAAAAAATGTTTGTCGTTAAAACAAAAATGTTTGCATAATTTTCGGGACTGGGGTCTGCGGATTTTGTGCATGCACCCCCTCCCCTCGTGTCGTGGTGTGTCCTCTATACTGGGCTCATATTGACATGCAACACAACATATTTTAAAAATATATAATTCCAATCATCCTCCATTCTCACTGTTTGACGAGTTCAGGGTTTGTACAGCATGTGGTTTGGACAGCACACAGCAAACGGTATAACCCGAAAACACAGCATAATCTCGAAAAAAAAACCCATACAGTGTTATCTATTTGCACTGCTTACCACCAATACTTGTGTTCGATATGTACACACATTGTTGCGTGTTATTGCTACTTATTGCCAACATAATTTTGATTGATACACCATATATTGACTGTGCAGCATGTTGTCATTATGAGATAATGTTATATAAAACCATATATTAGTGTTTTATACCATTTGGGTTGTTGGCATCGTCGATTGCACATTTTATCTGGTAACTTCTTGTGAAGCTTTCTTGCAAACCAGTCCGCATTGATGCTCCTTGACATAAATTGAGAGTCTGGCATTTTCCCCAGAATGGCAAGCATCAGAGGTTGGGGAATAGTGGTTTCAGTTGACTTGGCTGATCACAAATTTAAAAGATGTCTTTCTACAAGGCATGCACTCTGGGATAGAGCTACATTGCTTAAAATAATCAGGAGCTGAGTCATAAGCACGTGTTCAATTTAAAATGCACCCAGGCACCACACACGAGCTGTCTTCTCACAACCATACTTAGGTAAATTAAATATGTACTTGGTAGACATCTGATTTTTCATGTTCTGGAACAGAATATACATTTTTTAAAGCTCATATGAGAACATTTTACATTTCCACTAAGCAGAGATTTAATGTGTAGCTTAAGCCCTACAAGAACTGTTATAAGTTTGGCACAATACAAGACATGATTTTTTACTGATGCAAATCAATGGAACTATACACTATAATGTTACGTGTTTCTTAAATTACATAAAATATAGTGGTTGAAAGTCACAAAAGCCGCATGCATTAGTCTATTTACAATATACACTCACACAATTAAATTAACATATTTGTAATGAAGGATTAAGAACAATGCCTATGGCACTGAGGTTTTAATTATTGCTATTGCAGTCTCTGTTGTGCTTACAAATAAGTAAATATTCTCATTTATACCCCATGAAGGTTGAGATGATGGAAATATCTTACATGCCTTTAATTATAGAAGACCATATTTTGAATATGCCTATCACATTGATTAGTTTTGTTTAATGAGAATGTCATTTTAATAAATTTCCCATCAACCTGTTTGGAAGCAGAGATGGCTAGGTTTCATATTTAGGTAATCTTTAACACGTGTGCTACATATAATCCAAATGTAGAAGGAAAAATGCCAGTGCCTTATGCAAGTAATGCGATCATTCGTGCGAAAAGCAATGTGACATGCTTCGAAATAACAGACCTCTGTAGTTTAATTTACTTCTCATATCATGACTGGATTAGATTTAGAGTTGAGACAATATTTTTGTTATGCGTTATGCATGTTGCAGTCGTAATGTAAGTATGCATTGCAACATTAGCATTGGTTTGAACGCGGGTGTCACCGTGACCCACTTCAATTGTCATTAGCACACAGCATTTGCATGCTTCAGAAGTGAGCACCTTTGTAGTGCACACGAGATGCTTAATAGAGTAGAAGCAAAGTGAAATTTCGATTTAAAGCTTTCGTGACTGCAGGGATTCATATTCTTGATTATTTCGGTAAAGTCACGTAGAAGGGAAATAATAAGAACATTTTCTCGCTGTGGTTTTCACACCTGATGATGATTGCGTGTGTTGCAATTGAAACGTCGTGAGAATTGTATAGCTTTATTTTTATTATTTTATTATTTCCCTTTTACGTGACTTTACCGAAAGAACCAAGAATAAGAAGCAATGTGCTTAAGACTTGGAAACCAGTTCATGTAGAAATTAGGCTTTTTTTGCAATGCTTTAAATAGCCAGTTTAACCAAATTGTGAAGGTTTTTCCACCTCCGATTAGCACGGTAGGCTATGTACGGTTGGAAATGAATTCAACATACATACAGAAAAATAAACATTCCATTGAAATCTTTAAATCTTTAGAAAACCTGCATTTGCAGCCTTAGTTGAGTGTGATATGCACCCTATGGGAACGTGGAATATTCACTCCTGGCTCGGGAAACCGACAGAGATGAGCGCCGCCCTGTTGCTCGTCCGATCGGGAGCACATTTTGAGCGATTATGTACCACTTTATTATCACTGATATCTTAATCGGTGTAGATGTACATGGTAAGTCCAGAACACTGAAATCCCATGCTGGTGTGTCCACGCATTATGTTTATGTTAATTTCTAGAATGTGTCTGTGCACATTTAAAACGAATGACTGAATAAATACAAAAAAACATGATTGTGCATAATAATAATATTGAACTGGCTGCCTTCATGCATGTAAAATAATTAATTAAGCCTTTTATAAATGATTCAATCAATGAAATACCCATGGTCATACAGTGGAATGCGGACCTGGCTGGCTTCATGCCTCCGCCATCTGCCTGCCCTTTGCTTCCGTGGGCTCGCGTTTGCCCTTTTTAATTTGGCAAACTGGAATACCATCACGTGCGTGTCAATTCAGCGAGTGAAAGTGCCAACGAGATAATGACCATATACCTCTCCACGCCCCCTTCCCACATCCACCACCTGCCCTTCAACTTGGTTCCCTCGTATTTATCGAGTTCACCTCCTCTTGGGAACCCCGAGAGGGCATTGCCAAGATTGGCAGTTGTGCGGTCTCCCCATGGCCCTGGCTGAAGTCTGTAAAAGTCGCCAATGGTCTGTTTTGCTCAATTGGTGGCAGCTGGAGAGCTGAGTGGCTTAGATCACTCTTATCTGGGTTCAATGTTTGTCGGATATCAACACTCTGATAGTGTGCAAGCAAGGCCGATGTAAAGTAGGAGCACCATCTGCTAATTTATATCTACAGATGTAGAAGGCCCCTTGACGTTTCTTTCACAGGAGTGATCCATTGTTTGTTGGTATCATTGCCAGTGGTTTTTTTGTATAATTGCCTTGTAATGCAAATAGGTCACCTCAATTTGGATGACCACAATACACATCATGTATGTACCCTGTACTGTATATAGTTTTGTTTTGATTAAGAAACCACCATCATCCTTATCAGCCATGGTCAATCCACTGTTGGATTCGGCTGTGGCCATCTCTCTTAGTTCTGCAACGTAAAAATTCACCTAGAAACTATTAAAGCAATATCTTTGCCATTCCGCACATACAAGCGTGGTGGAGTGTAGTCATATATCTATCCCCAAACTCGTAAAGTTGCAAATTTTTCATTATATGAATGCTTGTTGGGGAATTAATAATCTATTACCAAATGAATGTTTCTATTGATTACAACTGCTGTAATTAAATATTTGTTATTTGGAGAGTATGATGGTGGTGGTGTTCGTGATGAATGCTGATAGCGATGGTGGTGGATGATGGCACTGTGTTGTTAGTGGCGGTGTTGGTAGTGGTGGTATCGATAATGTGGGGAGTGGTAGTGTAGTGGTTAGCACGCTGTGCTACGTACCCGGCGACCAGAGTTCGATTCCCGCTCATGGCCAACACCAGTGACGATTATCTGAAGCGGTCCTGGGCCTCCCCTAGGTCGACTCAGCTTGACATGAGTACCTTGTGTGGTGTGTAAACATTGCCACTTGGGATACAAAGGTGGCCGGCCTTTATAGGTGCTCACTAACAGCGCTTGCCTGAACAGTATGTTAATGCTATACGGGGAATCTTTGTCTTTGGTATTGATGGTGGTGGTAGTACTGGTGTTTGTGGTAGTGATGGATGATGGTGGTGATGATGTGGTCGTGCCTGTGGTCATGGTGAATGATGATGATAACGTATGTGGTGCTGGTGGCAGTAGTGGCGGTGCTGCTGATGATGCTGAGGGTGATGCTGATGATAATGCTGATATGGTGATGCTGATGATGATGCTGATGGTGATACTGACGATGATTCTTATGATGCAGATGATGATGCGGATGATGATCATGCTGACAGTGATGCTGACGATGATGATGGTGCTGACAATGATGCTGACGATGATGATGGTGCTGACGATGGTAATGGTGCTGACGATGATGCTGACGATGATTATGGTGCTGACGGTGATGCTGATGCTGACAGTGATATTGATGATGTTCTTGGTGGCAGGCGCAGGCTCGGCTTGAGGAGCCCAAGCTCGAGGCCGTGGGTGAGAACAACCTGGAGCTGGTCAAGGAGATCCTGGAGGACATTTCTCCGATGGCGGATCAGGATGGGGGGGCGGCCGAGTTAGCGAACATCTTAAATGAGCCTCACTTTCAGGTGCTGCTCCATGGGAAGGAGTCTTCAAGTTGACGTTTCTCGAGGCCCAAATGTCCTTACACATGTCCCATGAGTAATACATATATGTCAATGTCTGTGACCTAAGTTGCTAAATCCATTCCTTGTTATCATCATTAGACCTCCTTTGCCAGTACCAAAATGTAATAATAGGGTTTTCCCCTTTTTTCTGGCAACAAAACTGAAACCTTTTTACAAGGATTCATGTCTGCATTAACCACAATACCTGCAGTCAAAATGCAAACAAAAAACAGACTATGATAATATTTTGGTACTGGCAAAGGAGGTCTAATGATGTAGATGCTCACCCCGAGCCCTCATTACTTTGATAGTGCATTGTCTTTGATAATAATATAATAATATATAATAATATATGCATTGTCCTTGAAACTGATTGGTCCACACCAAGGGATGGCTTTCTTTTGAGCCTCGACCCAATTGGTGCTCGACCAGATGACGCCAAAAGGCGTACAGCTCAAAGACAATGCACTATCAAAGTAATGAGGGCTCGGGGTGAGCATCTACATCATTAGACCTCCTTTGCCAGTACCAAAATATTATCATAGTATGTTTTTTTTTGTCGTCCCGACAGTTCTGTTCCTTCACCTGAAGAAGGCTACTTGTGTTGTGGCCGAAACGTCGTGAGAATTTTATTTTATTATGTTTTATTTTTATTACTTTGTTTCCATTCTACGTGACTTTACCGAAAGAATCAAGAAGATGAATCCCTGCACTCACAAAAGCTTTAAATCGAAATATATGCATTGTCCTTGAAACTGATTGGTCCACACCAAGGGACGGCTTTCTTTTGAGCCTCGACCCCATTGGTGCTCGAGCAGATGACGCCAAATGGCGTACAGCTCAAAGACAATGCACTATCAAAGTAATGAGGGCTCGGGGTGAGCATCTACATCATTAGACCTCCTTTGCCAGTACCAAAATATTATCATAGTCTGTTTTTTGTTTGCATTTTGACTGCAGGTATTGTGGTTAATGCAGACATGAATCCTTGTAAAAAGGTTTCAGTTTTGTTGCCAGAAAAAAGGGGAAAACCCTATTATTACATTTTGGTACTGGCAAAGGAGGTCTAATGATGTAGATGCTCACCACCCCGAGCCCTCATTACTTTGATAGTGCATTGTATTTGAGCTGTACGCCTTTTGGTGTCATCTGGTCGAGCACCAATTGGGTCGAGGCTCAAAAGAAAGCCGTCCCTTGGTGTGGACCAATCAGTTTCAAGGACAATGCATATATTATCATAGTATATTTATTGTCTGCATTTTGACTGCAGGTATTGTGGTTAATGCAGACATGAATCCTCGTAAAAAGGTTTCAGTTTTGTTGCCAGAAAAAAGGGGAAAACCCTATTATTCCATTCCTTGTTAGTTTGTTTTGAGTGCAGAAAATTGGCTGGCATTGATGTATGGTACATAAGGAGTTTACAATTGACAAGAAAATAACAGCTTTTTTTGTTTTTGTGTGTCGTAATGTTGTGTTTTTGGAGGGACCTATGAAAATAATGTAAGGCTTGAAGAATAAAACCATAAGACCAGAATATTTATTTAAACTATTTTAGAACAAGGCTGTAAGAGTTTTTAAACCACTGCCAATGTTATTGACAACATATTTTTTTCGTTTGAATATTCAATGTTGACGTTTCCAGGACATTGGCAGTAAATAGTGGTGTTTTCAAAATATCTGCATGAAAATTTAATCCACAAAAACATTCTAAAATAGTGTGTATATATTAACTATACTGAAAAACCAATTTGCGTGACATTTTCAGTCATAGATGGAAAAAAAACTTTGGATGATACAAATGCATAGTTCAATGGAATGTTCACACAGTAATGCCTCTCAGTACTACACAAGGACTTTCATAAGTTGCTCTGTATTTTCGGGCCACTGTGCTATTTAAAAAATAAAAGTGATTAAAGCCTTCACCAGGAGTGTGTAGGGGTTTCTGTAGGTACCGCCAAACCCTTCGTGAAGGTCAGGCCGTTGCATGCCACTGTCATGGTCAAATGCACCCCACCTGCCCACAATGATATATCTTTCGGAGTGTAGGAGGGCCCCTTTTGATTCAGTGCTCTGCTCCCGTGCAGAGTGTACCTGTGCCCTCATGTATGAAAGCGAATGAATAAGTTACGTGCTGCCCAGCCATCTGTCAAAGATGTGAAGTGTAAGACGCCGCAGAGAGATCAAGAGAATAAACCCTCCGTTTTATATCCCGAGGGTGTGTTGAATAAGTGAAATAAGTTTATAAAAACAGTTGTCTGTTGTATTTCCATGGCTGTGTCGCTAATATGTTTTGGGAATTGGTTCAAACAAAAAAAGCTTTGGGCCTCATTGCACCATATTTTAATAATGCCAATTTTTTTTTAATCAGATTTATCTTTAACTGACTTGACAAACTAAAAATCGGTAAGATAGCAACTTCACTGCAACAACCAGAAAATGTTTCACGAATGAACAACACCCCATTATCAGATTAACTTAACACTGCAGTGTCTATAGTAAAAGCACGGTGAGAGTGGTGGCACAATGGTTAGCGCGCTGCTCTACGAACCCCGGCCACCTGCACTGACCGGCCTGGTCATGTATGGTCAAACAATTCCCATGACCGACACTGCATGGGTAGGCTTTCATCCACGAGTTGATTGACAAAAAAAAAGGCCCGTGAATGATTATTATTATTATTATTGTTGTGCGGTAGGCTAATGTTTCAGACTATGGTCCCTTGTTCGGTGCAGAGACAAAGGATGGTTATAATATTTGTGTTGCATTCCTTGCTCTCGTGAAAGCGAGACAGACGCACGCAAGCATGACAGAGTATGAGTTATCATAATGAAATAAAAAAGTAATAGGGAGTTTTTGAGGCGGTGTAATCGATGTTATGCGGTCAGAAATATGTCAACAAACAACCCTTTATAATCAGAAGTACAAATATATAAATGTTTAAAACATGCGCATATTTAAATGTACAAAATTGAACCGTGTAATGTTCACGGATCAGATTTTTTCATTCTACAAAATAGCCGAAATCGGTTTGAAAACAGAGGAGATAAAAAAATGTTGCCAAAATATTGGAATAAAGTTGCATTCCTCTCACCCCATAAATGGAGCCCATAATGCTCGCGCGTGCCGTGTTCCATCTAGTTTTCTTCAGCGAGTCAACAAATTTCAAGGGGTTGCGCACATCCACGGCCTAACCATGAAACCGCGCGCACCGGGGGATGCATGCCAGCACCAAAGCGGCAGGGGGCACGGCAGCGAGGAGCTGCCCCCGAGGTGATCCAAAAAAAGAACCTTGTCGTCATTCCCCACCCCCCGACTGCCCCTCCGCTGCCAAATGTGTGCTTGGCACGCTGCAGTCTCTGCTGGAAGCGCATGACGTGGTGGCCTCCCAGAGCTACGACAACATCACGAGCAGCACGGGGAACGACAGCAGCGACCTCTGGAGTGACCCGGCTGCCCTGGACGGAGCTGCTGGAACGGACGCCATCCGCATGGTCGGCATTCGCAAGGTGGAGGGGCAGCCCCTGGTGAGCGTCCAGCACACCCTGAGCACCGCAGCACACAACCGCAGCGGCCTGTGAACTCTGCAGGTTTCAGTGCTGACTAAGTCCAGTAGAACCCCTCTTAACGACCAGCACTTAACGACGGGCCTCCATAGAGCCCAATGTGTAGTGTATAGTAGTGTAGTGCAGGGACTTGCGGTCAGGGGAGGCAGAGCCTCACCTGTCATACTCCAATGAAAATAGCTGTTACGAAAAGTAGAACAAATCAAATAGAATAAATATTAAGATTTTTCCACTGATCTGTGTTCTAAATGTAATTTCTGTATAATTCCAATCATTTTTTATCGTCAAAATCGCCAAATTTGCGGAGCTCCGCTGCAAATACAGGAAGAGACGAGAGGTGAGGCAGCGACGAGCTCAGCCTCCCCTCTGATTGCGCAACCCCTCAGTAACTAGATGGAGCGTGGGCAATAAGCGCGTGCCTGTTACTATCTCTCAGTATGTCACCAATGTAATGTTTGTAGACCCCTTCATTTCATGTCCTCGTCTTCCATACTCCAGGTAACTTAGTTCACGTATGTGTATAAAGACATTTAGGCTCGCTGGTCTCGTCATGAAACTGCATTGAAAAAGCACCAGGGGAGGCAGCTATCACATCTGCCTCACTGAGGGGGACGTGTCTAACACGCCCCCCTCCGTGAGGCCACGCCCCCCTCAGTGTGTGAATCTGGCTCTGACACTAGCCAGTGCCTCCCGAGCCATTGACCTCACCGCACATCACTGGTGTAGTGTATAGTGTAGTGTAGAGACTAATTTGTTCACTTACCGACCATTCCCCTGTTAACGACGGACTGTTGTAGGTACAGTTACATTACTTAATGCATTTTAATATCATGATTTATAATGTTGTTAGTATCTTTATGTATTAATATCCATTGTTTAAATATTATAAGTAGGTTTTTTTGAGTGAAAAAGGGTAACTTTCGATGCTATCGGAACGAATTAAGCCTTTGACGTATTTCTCATACTCGCTTAACGACCAAACCACTTAGCGACTGGTTTCGTGGAACCAATCGTCGTCGTGAAGAGGGGCTCTACTGTACGTATGCTGAATTTCTTTTGCACCGGACGTATCTGACCTTGCTAATCGGAGGTGCGGATAGGCTATAGTCTACAGGAAAATTGCATTAAAACAGCAACATAGTTTAACTGTAAAAAAAATATATTGTAGTGTGTGTGTTTGTTTGTGCATATGCAGGGAGTGGCGGTGTAGTGATTAACACACTGGGCATGAACCTTGATGCAGTGCTTAAGTTAGATTCCGATAATTGATTAATATCGGTTGTGAGAGGTATCAAGGAACTTGTCTTGCATCTCCACTAAAAAAGTAAATGTGATTTTCTGCTCAAATGAGCATTGAAGGTGTGCTCATTTCCTGTTTACAGTACTGAGCCAGTGGTGAAAATTCCACATTCCTATGGCAGAGGCAAGTGTATCCATAGGACGCACAACCAGTGTTGAATTTCACCACAGAGACATACTCATTCCATAGACCCTGTTGGGGAATGATGGGCCGCGTTCATCCCAAGAGAGGATTATGTGCGGTGTGTGAACATCAGCACTCAGGCGGCAATGAGGACTGAGCGTGGTGCTGGCCACACCAGCGCCTCATGCACCAAATTTGCTGTAATAGTTCATCCTTTGAACCAAGAGAGTGTATGGTTTAGTGTGTTGAGGGACCCTCAAACATATACCATGCAGTAATTTTGGAATTAGTTTCTGCCGCATTGTGGACACATCACCGTGTTACATTGTTACACGTTTACATTTAGGGATGTTTACGTTGGTGTGCTGCTTTAAGGTTGCGTTGAAAGCCTCGTGAGTTTGGCGGGTCTGTGCCAATTTACGGTATTAGGCACACATGCGTTTTCCTTTGGTTGAACCGACGGCAATGAATGCCTGGTACTTTTGGACAAAATGCACTTCGAGCAGAAGCAAGCACCGACCAAAGTACAAAAATCCATTTAACTATGTTAGTGCATTTGCTCACTCTTGCAGAACACCGCAATACATTTTGGTGTGCGGTGAAATTTCATTACAGTCCCTCCTCCTCCTCACCAATCACGACTTACAGTGATAATGCACCTGTCAAGTACCGCCCATTCACGTCGACTCACATTTCTTGCTCCACGCTTTTACTCAGGCCAACACAACCAAGAGAAAGTATGGCTTCTTGGAGTCCACTTACTCAAGTAGAGCGTACAGCCTGTGCGGTCTGGCGGAATTGAAGAAAGGAACCATTTCGATTTGCACCGTGCCTTCTCCTCTAGGTCTTTGACAAAATCTCTCTGCACTAATGCTTGAGTCCACGATTAAATAAATATCCCTTCTTTACATTGTGGCAGCATATTCAAATTTACTTGTGTTAATGGCTTGGCGAGGGTGAAAAGAGGATGGAAAGTCTTCGATATGGCTTTTGGTTGCATTGCAACGGCCGTGCCATGTGTGACCCAATCGTAAAGCAAATTTGCACTTGAGTTTAAGGAGTCACAGGTCATATGCAGGCATGATTGGTTTTAATATAGGTGGTGTCATCTACAAATTGAGTTCTTCCTCTCGCCAAAATCCCCGCTAATTTGCAGCATGTGTGAGCCTGTCACTTTCTTCAGGGTGCTTTTCAAGCTCCATCCCGCCTGCCTACGCTGCGGTTAAATAATTTCTATTTTATTTTATTCTCAATCAGAAAATACGCGAGTAAAAAATCCCGGTCAGGTGTCAAACTCAGCTTATCAGCCCTCATGAACACGAGTTCAGTCGCACTTTCAGTGCTAATTTTGCCGAAGCGTCCGTCCTGAGCTTTCTTTTGCAATGTCCACAACTATATTCTGGGTTAAATTTAGATTTAATGCTTTCGTGACTGCAGTGATTCATATTCTTGGTTCTTTCGGTGAAGTCACGTAGAATGGAAACAATAAAATAATAAAATATATATAAAACAATAACATTATCACGACGTTTCGACTGCAACACAAGCAGTCATCATCAGGTGTGAAAACCAACGGCAAGAACATTTGAAATGTGCATTTGGAAGAACCAAAGAACCAAGAATATATATTCTTGGTTCTTTCGGTAAAGTCACGTAGAAGGGAAACAATAAAATAATAATAAATACTAATTTATCGTTTTATATTTTTATTATTTTATTGTTTCTCTTCTACGTAACTTTACCGAAAGAACCAAGAATATGAATCCCTGCAGTCACGAAAGCTTTAAATAAAAAAAATGTCCACAACTGGCTGAGCTCCACCAATGTAGAGATGAGTGACACCATTTAGCTCCTTTGAACTTTAATACAAATCTTGACTTGAAGCTTTCGTGACTGCAGGAATTCATATTCTTTGGGTCTTTCGGTCAAGTCACGTAGATAGGTTAAAATAAAATAACAAAAAACTACGACGTTTCGATCGCAACACACGCGGTCGTCATCCTGATGACGACGTTTTGATCGCAACACATATGAACTTTAATACAATTTAACTTCACGAGAGTGTACACGTGGTGTCGGTGCCATTTTCAAAGATTTTTTTTTATCTGCGCATCGCCATTGGTGACCTTGAGCCTGTGGTGGAAACAACCCCATTGGTGACCTTGAGCCTGTGGTGGTGACCTTGAGCCTGTGGTGGAAACAACCCCATTGACCTGGGTTGGGGAAGTACAATTAATTGCATTGTTCAGCGGCTGTCAGTGTTGTGCAAAGTGGTACTCATTGCATTGACCCTGGAGGGCACGATTGGCAAAGCAAAACCCCCGAACGGAGATTTAAACTCACTGCCTACCAAATGTAAGTCGGGAACAAGGTTGCAGTGCCACCCTTCCAAATGCACATTGTCTACAAAATATGGGTAAGAGGTAATGCTAATCATAGTCTTTATCCGTGACCTCACTATGAGCCACATTAAATATTGAGACGAGATCCCACCTATTGTTGCACTCTGGTGGGGTAGACGTGTCAAGAGTGTTCTGGTTAGATTCGCATCGTCAATGCATACAGGTCATGCCCATGAAGGTTCATGAGAGATAGCAACGGCTTGTGGAAGTTTTCACCCAGCAGCAGATCGATCATTGCTCACGATGTAAATGATGATCTGGTATCGATATTCCCCATGCTTAAGATGTTTGCCGACCTCAGGTTTGCAGAACACTTTGAGAATCGTTCGAGCGTCGTGAGTAGTAAGCCCATCACATGTGCACGACATCTGCCTTGGCTCGATAGCTGTTACTTGAAATGTGCTTCACTACGTCCACAGCCGTGTGCCGACTGTGCGCTATCAATTAAGCTGGTCTACCTCATTGGTTGAAGCTTATCCCTGCCTTTCCGCCTTGTGGGACTAATCTATCTGCAGCAACAAGAAAGCCCAATAGGGACTGGAGCTGTGATATAAACTGAAGGCTGTTGTCCTTCCTTAACTGCTTACTTGCTGCATACCTTGGACTCAAAACGTATTTGCGCCACATACAGTAAACTACATTAGTCCCAGATTGTATTGATTGGGGCACATTGTGTGCGGGTATTGATTTCAGTGAGTCTGATTTTCTGCGTGTGCATGCTTTGAAAAGTTATAAATGTCAAATTGCTTTAGAATAGATGGCCCGAAAGGATTAACAAAGCAGCGGTGTTTTTAGTTGTTGTTGTTAAGTCCAGTGTCCCATTTTGCAATTGTGACGTGACCAAGACGGAGTGTGTGACGTGGCAAGCATGGCCTACTTGGCAAAGATAACGACACGGGCTTTCAAGAGATTAACTTGATCACACAGCTGCGGGTGCAAGAATCCATAACTAAATGATCAGTCAGTTTCACACAGACCTTAGCAAGAATCTCATTGGTGAACGTGATTATATTGTTCATTAACTTCAGGCCATTTTCCTTTGAACATAATGAATGCAATTCACGACAGCGAGTTGTTCTTTGGAAACAAAACAATTATATTCACGCAATGTTTTTTACGCATTTGCTCTCTCTGTGAACTGGAGCAGATGCTGACAACTCTCACACCACATTGATCAATCCTCTCGCCTCTGCACATTTTTACTTACGTTTGCATTGAAGTCGCCCCATTGTGATGTTTTATAATCGTACATGAAATATACAGTACTAGCTGTACTACCCGGCTTCGCCCGGGACTTGGATTCACCACACCCGGCCGCCTTTGTCTCCCCAGTGGCGATGTTCACACCACAAAAAATATAAGCATTATTGAGCTCCCTCCCCCCCCCCCCCCACCTAAAAAAATATGTATTTTAATAATTTTTTGCATGGTGAACAGTCTGGAAAGTACCCACATGGCAAATTTAAAGTTTGTTGCATGTCGGGAAGTACGCGAAACATGTTTGAACAGACACACATAATCACAACTTTGCCTTTTTTATATATAGAGATTGGGGTCAGAAGCTGAGCCTATCAACAGCCTCCAGAAGGAAAACAATTTAGATTTAAACCTAATTTCTTTAGAACTGTTTTTTGTGTTTAGTTTGTTGTCCTTCCAGCGCACCTCCGATTAGCACAGTTTGCTACGTACGGTACGAAAAAGTTCAACATACATACCCCAGAGCCAATAACAGATATACCACCTGATGCAAAATCAACAGTGATTGTGGAGTGATTAAGGCGAGGGGGATGCATAGAAAGTGGTTATCCCATGCCCCTTCATGGCATGGTAACACATCTGGGGGGGGGGGGGGGGGCGGGGAGAAGCAGGGGGAATGCAGGCCAGCGTGCTTCACTCATTTTCAGAGGGGGGCCACTTTGGCCGATGAGACACGAGCGTAATGGCCGCCACACCGCTTGCAAGGGCTGTTTTCACGCGTGTGCATTGCCAGGGCCGCAAGTCATGCCACACTGACTGATGATTGCTACGAGGGCTTTTAAGTAAGTTGTTAACTGCTAATGTTCTATAAACTGTGGGAAAATGACAAAATACAATACAATGCGATTTGGATTCATGTGAGAGTCTAAATGCAAATGCAATTAAAGTTTTATAAAACAGCAACGGGTTGCATTATGGGAAATATGTGTGACAACTATATATAGATACTATAGGGTTTTTTTTTCTTCTATTCAGAGCAGGGATAGTGGGCCATTAGAATAAGTAAAGAGGAAAATTTTGAGCCTCGACTGTAACAGCAGCCTGAAGTAGATAATGCACAGAGGGCTGGGAAGAGAGTCTTCGAAAAAATGTAGAAAGCAGAGTTTGAGTGGCCTTGTGCAAAACTGATATTTGTGTATTACATTTGGCCTTGCTTGGTAATTTATGGAATCCTTCGCATACACATATAACTTATTCAACAGTATTTTTTTTTCCTCTGGACATGGAGTTCATAGTCCGAACGCAGCTAAATATTTAAATGTTCGATACCGTCATTTTAAGCTTCACTTTCTTGTTAAATTGGATTTTAAAACACATTTTTTGCGAGATGAATTAATAATCCCTATTGCAGTTTGGAAAAATTGGCTTACACTATTCCAGTGATCCTATTTAATAACAATACAAAACTATCCATAAATACTGCTTTTTTGGAAATGCACTCCAGAATAAAAGTATAATAAAACAGTACGATTAAATTAATTGCACGAAGTTGTGCATTCCCAATGTTAGCAGATAAAAGCAATATCCCAAATTAAATCTCGTATTTTATGACTAACACTCCTACACCTGCGCTGCTTTGGCAAGATCAAGTAGAAAAGTCAAGGGTCTGTCAGATCAAATGATCACAGGCACACCTTTCATCTCTCATCATCACTGTCTGCATTGATGGTGGAACCAACATTGGAAATTCCACACTTCCTTGGTGGGAACCATTCCCGACATAGGACAATCATTGTTGGCTTCCCACAAAGTGGTTCTCGTGTTATATAAACCGGAGGGGTGATAGGTGATATTGACAAGATTATTGATCACGGTGCCAATGGGTGTTGGCCTCTTTCCATCGGAATCACCTGCACTTTCGAGAAAGCTCACCTGGATGTGAGCATACAAATTGATCAAGCTATTGTGCAGATTTTCTTAATAACCTAATGGACCCACATGTCAAAAAAGCTACAATTAATAGCCGCCGTGTATTGTGCGGTCGCTCAGAGGAATCACAGAAGCCCTGTTAATCATCGCAAGTGCATTTAGCGTTACGGCCGTACCGTTCCTCGCATGTAAATTTACTCCTTTGCCAAAGCAATCAAATATTTGAAGGTTGTTACTTTTTTTAACATCTTTTAATCTTAGTTGCAATAAAGTAATTCAATTAAACATTGGTCGAAATTTGCATGTCGTGCAACCAAGCTCTTTTTTTTTTAAGGTCTTCCTTCTCTCGTCACCTTTGCACTCGAGCTGGCCTTTAATGTGCACAGGCCGTGACTTTTAAGGTGTTGGGCAAATAATTGGGCGTACCGTCGCACGTTGGGGCACCGCTCGCTCGTGCGCACGAGAGGGGAGCGCTAAGGGCAATCGATAAATGGAGACCCGCCACGTGCACATGTGCAGACACGCAAGGGTGGAAATTCACGATCTGTGGGATTTTGGTTAACCTTACAAGCAAATGGTTTTGTTTAAAAGTTAAAGGTTATCACATTATGCTTGGGACATGAACAGTGATTGCATTATAACTGCCCGAGCTGGAAACCGTGTTTTGTCTCCGCTGCATCGAACCACTTGAGCTGACACACAGTGCACCTGCTTGGTTATTGAAACCGAGTAATTGACGTTTTGAAGGTATGAGGACATAGATGGAGGGCTCCTTTTCAGACATTTCCCAATCCATTGCACTTGCACGTGCGTGTGGAATGGTTCGCACACTGCACTGTGATCCAAGGAGGAGACTAGCGTTTCATCGCCTGGTGTTGATCAGTGAACAAATCAAACATGGGACTTTTGATGCGATGTCACCATCAGTAATTGAAAACAATATGTGTCTCACCTTTTGTGTGTCTGTGCTTCTGTGTTCACGTGTGTTTTAGTGGGGAGCAGCGGTGCAAAGTTTAGCGCACTGCACTATGAATATGTCGCGTTGAGTTAGATCCCCGACCACAACTAATTTCAGTGGAAAGTGGTCCTCCCCCCTCGGTCTACTTAGCCTTTAACTTCTCTTTTATAAAAAAAATATTCCACCTGGTAAATCCCTTGAGGTGGAACATTTCCAAGGGTGTCCAGGTGTTCCGACATGTGTACCTGGCGAGTGACGTAAGGTGGCTGGACATAGTGTCAGCCACACCACCCCAGGGGCCTCGTTCACTGTACTTACCCCAACAGTTTCCCACCTCCGGAGCAGCAAGATACCGGGGTTAGCCACCTTTTTATTTTTTTTACAGGGAAGCACGTAACAGACTGCAAAAAACAAATTCGATTATGGATTTTAGTCGACTAACTGAGCCATTTAATCGTCCCTGCTCGATCTGTGTATTTATCCTGCACGTACGTGCATGTCCCTCTCCCGTTGCCCCAGGGCGTGACGTTCCGCGTGGAGAGCAGCGAGCTGGTGATCGCGCGCATCCTGCGGGGCGGTATGATCGACCAGCAGGGCCTCCTGCACGTTGGCGACGTCATCCGTGAGGTCAACGGCCGTGACGTCACCAATGACCCCGCGGGGCTGCAGCGCTTCCTGCGCGAGGCCACGGGCAGCGTCGTGCTCAAGATCCTGCCCAGCTACACACGCTCGTCACCCCCGGCACAGGTACCGCCGGTCGCTGCGCGAGGCCCACCCTGGACAGGCGGACAGATGAACAGCGCCCGCCTGTCCGGGTCTGCCCCTGGACAGGTGGACACGGCTCACCTGTCCAGTTCTGCCCTGGACGGGTGGACAGGGCTCGCCTGTCCGGGGCAGCCCAGCAGATGCGTGGCTTCAGACCTCTGTCATTTCCCACCATCAGCACATGGCGACGAGGCACGTTAAACCCTGCTCTTTGGACATTCCTTGCAAATGGGACTTGGCATATGTGTATGTGTGTGAGTTCTCATGACATTAAAATGGTAATCTTTATACCTACCGAGCTACCTAGCTGCATATATGCCTGCCTTCCTACCTTGTTGCCAACCTACTTGCCGACATACTTATTAATCCATCTGCCTACCTATGTGCGCAGCCTATTAACCCATCGTCTGCAAAGCTAGGATAAGAAAATAAGACAAAGGTGGCGATGCAACGTCTTGCTCATGCCGCTGCAAGGCCTCCACGAGATCTAGAGACCCCCTCTAGATGTCGAGGGTACTGTGACCTACTCTTCCATTCTGGCTGGATGTCTTAGAATAGCTACAACGCTCGGTGTCTCTGGGTTAATGACTAAATGAATGTAACAGTTCATTTGTGTATATAAAATTGCATCTATATGCTGTCAGTTTTCACTGTGTGTATGTGTGTATGAGGAGGTTGATTATACATTTTAAGAATACTTTTCATGTATATATCTTTTTTTATATTTGATTAATAGAAATGTTCAGTTCAATTATTTTGAGTAATTTTCTCTTTATACCAGTCACTTTTCTTTTATTTATTTTCAGGTAAAATGATAATAAAACATCAATGACAAAAGCTGTTAAATGTTTCTGACTAATTTAGCCCTGAATGTAATCTTGGTTAGTGCAGTGTCCTGCTGATTAACACACCTGATAACATTAAAATTATCTGACAACTCACGAGTCATATAATGGATTTTAATGCTGTTATAATAATTGCATTATAGAAAAAAATATACTTGAATGGGAGATAAGCTATGGTGAACTTAAAAAAATGCATATCAGCCATATAAATGTGCTATTCGCCATTGCTAAGCACCGATGCATACACTTGGTACAATGCTTTTACAGGTCAAAGTGTTAAAGTGTTCCCATGCTCAAATGAGCATTTGGCATTTTAATGATCTTTGACGATATTATTCTCACATTCGTACGATGGAGACATGTCTCTCCATAAGGTAACTACTGTTGACTTCTTTCACAGTGATACTGTAGTAAAATGTATTGACCCTGGAACCTTGATAGGTCGAGTTGACCCCTGACTCATATCTTTCTGAATCAAGTATCTGCCACAGTGTTACCCAGCTGGATACCATTCCACAAGGCCCGTGTATTTATTTGAATATTTTCTTGGAAGTGCAAATTAAAGGCCATAATGGCCACGGTTGGCAGAGGCCTAACAAGTCCCTAAAGATCACAAACATATGGATGTGCCTCTTGTGCATTTGTGAGGGCTTACACGAGCCAACGAAAGACCAGTCTCCAGCAGTTTCCCAAGAGACAGCCTGCTGGAGGTTACATTCACCTGTACAGCGGGGCATTCCGACTTCATCGTGAGAGCAAAACGCCTCCAAAAAAAAATCAGCTGCCATGGCCAGCGTGACATTGGCTGGATGCAACTGATGGCCTAAAGAACAACATCTTTCTTCCTTCAGCCTCCCACAGGCCTTCAGGCTGACATTCAGTGTTCAATTTCTGCACCGTCCTGCCCATGACTTGTGTGTTATAATGTGGGCGTGGGAAATCCAAGGGCAATCTCAAGCCAGCTTTGGCTTGTGCCCTGTTCTGCTGCTCTGCTGCTCTGCTCTTTACTGCATATTGCACGCCATATATCATGTGAATTGCTCAGCAGAGGCTTATGCATTGCCCTGTCCTGGGCGCACTGGTCAGGATATTCAGCACATATCGCGATCCTTTGTCAAAGTAATTACCGTTCTTTGAATGCAAATGCGGAGGTCCGTTCCTTGTAGGTTATTTACATCTCTTGTTCCTGAGCCCCAGGTTAATAGATGCCAGTCGAAGTTTTCAGACGAGACAGATGGTAAAGTGGTGTCATGTGACACTGTTGTGGCACATCACATTAGCGCAGCCACAGGACCTTACAATGAAAAATTGTGAAGCCAATTTATGAAAACTTTAATTTTCAAACTTTCCCTCTTGCCATGATTCGTTTAACCAAAACGGTGCGGTTGGAATTTGTAGTTTCACTTTTTAAAAAAGTGCTTACTGAAAGCTAGTATTACTTCAAAAACGAACTATATAGTTGAAATTTCATTTTGTTGGGATTTAAAGAGTTCCCCTTCACAGAATCCATGAAAAGTGTGTATAAACAGAAACATTGGTAACATTATATAAGAGATAGGATGTATATAGGTACATACAGTGAGGGAAAAAAGTATTTGATCCCCTGCTGATTTTGTACGTTTGCCCACTGAAAAAGAAATCATCAGTCTATAATTTTAATGGTAGGTTTATTTGAACAGTGAGAGACAGAATAACAACAACAAAATCCAGAAAAACGCATGTCAAAAATATTATAAATTGATTTGCATTTTAATGAGGGAAAAAAGTATTTGACCCCTCTGCAAAACATGGCTTAGTACTTGGTGGCAAAACCCTTGTTGGCAATCACAGAGGTCAGACGTTTCTTGTAGTTGGGCACCAGGTTTGCATACATCTCAGGAGGGATTTTGTCCCACTCCTCTTTGCAGATCTTCTCCAAAGTCATTAATGTTTCGAGGCTGACGTTTGGCAATTCGAACCTTCAGCTCCCTCCACAGTTTTTCTATGGGATAAAGGTCTGGAGACTGGCTAGGCCACTCCAGGACCTTAATGTGCTTCTTCTTGAGCCACTGCTTTGTTGCCTTGGCCGTGTGTTTTGGGTCATTGTCAGGCTGGAATACCCATCCACGACCCATTTTCAATGCCCTGGCTGAGGGAAGGAGGTTCTCACCCAAGATTTGACGGTACATGGCCCCGTCCATCGTCCCTTTGATGCGGTGAAGTTGTCCTGTCCCCTTAGCAGAAAAACACCCCCAAAGTATAATGTTTCCACCTCCATGTTTGATGGTGGGGATGGTGTTCTTGGGGTCATAGGCAGCATTCCTCCTCCTCCAAAACACGTCGAGTTGAGTTGATGCCAAAGAGTTCAATTTTGGTCTCATCTGACCACAACACTTTCACCCAGTTGTCCTCTGAATCATTCAGATGTTACTCATTGCTTTTTTTGGTAAAGTCACGTATGTAGAAATACAATAAAATTACATTAAAACAAAACATTCACGACGTTTCGATCACAACACAAGCGATCTTCATCGGGTGTCAAGAACAAATCATGGAAAGAACAAATCATGGAGGTAAATACAACAAAAAAGATGAGAGACGAGAATTTAACAAACCTAAAAAACATTATGTGAAGCACAACCAATCAGGCCAACAATACAGTTAGACACTTCCTGGCGGACCACGAAGTGATTATGTGACTGGGCCTTACCATCAGCCCCACCAAAAGCTTTAATTACCTTATCATTCAGATGTTCGTTGGCAAACTTCAGACGGGCATGTATATGTGCTTTCTTGAGCAGGGGGATCTCGTGGGCGCTGCAGGATTTCAGTCCTTCACGGCGTCGTGTGTTACCAATTGTTTTTTGATGACTATGGTCCCAGCTGCCTTGAGATCATTGACAAGATCCTCCCGTGTAGTTCTGGGCTGATTCCTCACCGTTCTCATGATCATTGCAACTCCACAAGGTGAGATCTTGCATGGAGCCCCAGGCCGAGGGAGATTGACAGTTCTTTTTGTGTTTCTTCCATTTGCGAATAATCGCACCAATTGTTGTCACCTTCTCACCAAGCTGCTGGGCAATGGTCTTGTAGCCCATTCCAGCCTTGTGTAGGTCTACAATCTTGTCCCTGACATCCTTGGAGAGCTCTTTGGTCTTGGCCATGGTGAAGAGTTTGGAATCTGATTGATTGATTGCTTCTGTGGACAGGTGTCTTTTATACAGGTAACAAGCTGAGATTAGGAGCACTCCCTTTAAGAGTGTGCTCCTAATCTCAGCTCGTTACCTGTATAAAAGACACCTGGGAGCCAGAAATCTTTCTGATTGAGAGGGGGTCAAATACTTATTTCCTTCATTAAAATGCAAATCAATTTATAACATTTTTGACATGCGTTTTTTCTGGCTTTTTTTGTTGTTATTCTGTCTCTCACTGTTCAAATAAACCTACCATTAAAATTATAGACTTATCATTTCTTTGTCAGTGGGCAAACGTACAAAATCAGCAGGTGATCAAATACTTTTTCCCCTCACTGTATATATGAACTTGCACTTTAATTGCACACAATGTTTCTCCACCATCTCGCGGCATTCACTCTGGCCTTAACATCAGTAGGCATTGCTCTTTCAGATGTGCTTCTACGACCGTCTGGAATACCCTTCCTTCAAAAATTAGGAAGCTATTCAGAGCTATGCACTTTTAAATCTAGATTTAAAACTCATTTCTTTAGAACTGCTTTTTTTGTTTAGTTCCTTGTCCTCCCACACCTCCGAATACCATGATTAGCTACGTACGGTGTGAAAGAAGTTCAACATATATACATTAAAAGATGACTAATGCTATGCATGTTTACCATATTCCAGGCATGCAAGCCATTTTGCCTCCTCACAACTGAATGAATTGTCACGATTAATGGTGATGATTCAATCCAGAATTAATCTTTGTGGCAAATATATCACCGTCGGTCACAGCAGGGGCAATGTGAACCAATTACATGCGACGCGTGTGAGTTGAAAATAATACATTCGTACGTATCCCATTCAGTGTAATTATCTGTCGGCAAAAAGAATCAATTTCAGTTGCATGAATCGAAGTGTGATCGCACGCCAATGGCATTGTGGCAATTTAATGCAACGATCCCACCTCGAGCATGGGCTGCTC